CATAATAAACTAAGGCTTAGTTTAGCTTTGGAATTGGTCCCAGTTAGCTGCTTTTGGGGTCTAGAGAATTAAAGTGAAGTTACCATTTCAATTTAGAGTTACATGTAAGAAGTTAAGAGAATACTCATTTTGTAAATAAAGCATAAACCATCTCTGGGACTCACCTCAGGGAGCTGCTAGTCTCATAATGATGTTGATGTAGGATAAAACTGGTTTTCTTCTCAACATGCATGTTTTCTGAGTGCGGTAGTTTCCAGATACTGTCTTATCTGACCCATATGACAGTAAGGACAGAGAAAGGAAGACCTGCCTGCCTGCTTGTCTGTTCCTTCTAAGACTCCCCCTCCCAGCTATTTTGTCATCTTCAGACTTACTATATATTCATGGTTTTTTAAACACCAATTTTTACTTTTCTTGTTTTTAATTTACATGAACAGGTATCTCTCCTACCTCTCACTTTCTTGTATTGATTTTTCTCCTCCTTTCTCCGAGCATTTGTTTTTCCAGGCATCCGTTTTCTGGCCAGTCCCTGTTCTGCTCTCACTTCACCTATGCACTTGCCTTTGGCCTCCCACTAGCGCCACACTCTGGTCCCCATGTGTAACAGAGGCTGGATTTATCCTCCTGCCTTGAACACCTGGAAGACTGGGGAAAATGTGAACTCAGTGAAATAGAAAACAAAATCAATACAGAAAACTGATGAGACAAAAATATGGTTATTTGTGGAGTTTAATAAAATTGAACCACTTATCCTAGTGATCAGGAAAAAAAGAGAGGATATAAATTACCTGAAAGAAATGTGACATTTTGCGTATTCTGTTTTTTTAAGTTTAATTCCTGGATTGATTGTACACTGCCTATGGTGAGTAGCTTTATTGCTAGTATTTAGAACCTTTAGGGAATGACTCCTCGGAGGTGTCTCAGAGGTTTTTTTAGGTGTAGCTGGCTTTTGGGTTTTGAGTCTGTTGTAAGGTCCTAGCTCTTCAATTTACTGGACATGAGAAGTTGCTGCCTACATGGCCCAGCCCCTGGTTCTTTGGCACTGGCCTTCAGTATGTCTATGACCATTACTGAAAATTCTATAGATTAAAAATAATTCTATAGATTAAAAATAATGAAGATATATGATGAACAACCTTATGCCAATAAAGTTGACAGCTTAAGCAAACATAGCAGTCATATTCAGAATAGCCAAAATTTGTAAACAATTTAGAAAAAATTTCTAGTAAGTGATGAATAAGGAAAATGTGCCATATCCACACAACAAGAATATCTGGCAATAAAAAGTACTGAAGTAATGATAACACTCCACAGTACAGATGAACATTTTAAAAAATTGATAAGTGAATAAGCCAGTCACAAAGAACCACATATTATATCATTCCACTTATATAAAATGGCCAGTATAGCCAATTCTATAAAGAATCTACAGGAAATAATTAGTAGTTGCCTAGGATTGGGGGTGGAGGAAATTGTAGTGTAGTGGTACAAGGTGTCTTTGGGGTTTCATAAGCCTCTGACTGTATCAAAAGTCATTTAATTTTATACCTTAAACTTGTAGATTTTGTGATGTGAATTAAAGTGTTAAAATAATAAAAAGAAAGTAGAAAATATAAAGAGGAAGAAAGAAGGGGTGAGACAAATAGGAAACAAATAGAAGATAATGGATTTAAACTCAGCAGTATTCATAACCACACTAAATATAAATGGTCTAAACACTTATTTAAAGGCAATGATTGCCAAATTGGTTTTTAAAAACAAAATTCAACTATATGTTCACTATAAGAATCCACTTTAAATAGGCACAAATTTGATAGACACAATTGAAAAGAAATGATATGCTGTGCAAACACTAATCAAAAGAAGGATGAGTGACTACAAATATCAAAGTAGATTTTGGGGTTCATAATATTACTAGAAATAAAGTGCAATTTCTTAAAGTTGCAGGAATACATTTATCAAGAGTACATAAAAATTTATACACCTAATAATACTGCTTCAAAATCCATGAAGCAAAAAATAATAGAACTTTGCAGTAGACAGATTTTACATTATAGCTGCAAGTTTCAAGTCCCACTCTCAATTGTAATTGCTAGAACAACTAGAATAAAAATCAGTAAGGATGCAGAAGACTTGAGCAACAGCACCATTCACCATTTACCTATCTGATGTCTATATAGAATACCTAACAACAGCCAAATACACATTTTTTCTGGTGTACATGGAATATTTACCAAGATAGATCAAAACCCACACTAGAAAATAAGGTTCTTTCAGTTTAAAATAATTCAAGTAACGTAAATAATGTTTTCTGGTTACAAAATAATTAACTACACTAGTAATAAAGGAGAAAAAAAATCTCTGGAAGTTTTCCAAATACTTTAAAACTAAAGAAAAATTACAAATAATCCATGGGTTTAAAAAGAACTGAAAAGGGAAGTTTGTAAAATGCAAAAGAAAAAAAAAAATCAACCTGAAAATTTAGGATTAGCTAAAGTAGCACATAGAAATATGCAGCAGTAAGACTATATTAGAAAAGAAGAGTTATACAACACAGTGACCTCATCTTCAACATTCACAAATTTAAAAATAGAGAAAATTAAACCAAAAGTTATCAGAAGAAAAGAAATGTTAAAGATAAGGAATCAGTGAAGTAAAAAGGAAGAATCTAAGCAAAATTAATGACGCTGTTAAATGAATGAAAAGATAAGCTGCAGACCGGCAGAAAACATTTGCAAACACTTGACAAAGAACTTATAGCAAACATATATAAAGAACTCTAAAAATTCAACAAAATAAAAAATAGAAAAAGTGGGCAATAAATTTAAAAAGATGCTTCACCAATAAAGATAGATACATGAAGTCTAAGGTTATTGGCAATTAGGAAATGCAGATTAAAACCACGATGAGATACCAATGCCCACCTATAACAATAGCTTAAATTTGCAGACTGATTATACCCAGTGTTGGCAAGGCTGTGGGAGAACAGGAGCTCTCTTTCACTGCAGATGAGGATGTTAAATGGTCCAGTCACTCTGGAAGACAATTTGGCAGCTTCTTTAGAACTTAAACATCCATTTACACTACCAGCTATTCCACTGTAAGATGTTTTCCTGAAGAAATGGAAGCATTTGCTTGTTCAAGGACTTGCATGGTATGTTCATGGCAAATTTATTTGTGACAGCTTCGAACTATAACCAACCTAATTATTTATCAGCACATCAAAAGATAAACAGATTGTGAAATACCCAGTTTTAAGCCAAAATCTGAAAGACACAATTTCAAATACCATAATCCCAGATGTTGAAAACCCAAAAGATCAAAATTTTTAATGGCTAAAATCCCTACATTCTAAAATCCTGAAAGATCAAAATCCTGATCATATAATTTTGGTAAAAATAACTTCAAAATTCTTTCAAAGACATTGTAATTCATATTTCAAATAAGAGACTTGAGGAAAAACCTGACATTTTATATACCTTTGCAAGCACAAACACACAGGTATACCAGCCACAGTCATATAGGTATAACAGATAAGAACGGATGAACCATAGTCAAAAAGTGAAAGTCAGAAAGTGAAATGTATAAATACACATCACCACGGCTGGTAATTGTGTGTACCCAGCTTTATCACTGCAGTCACCCGAAATACCATGATGGACAACCTAGTCTTTTGATTAAATAAAAAAACACAATGGGTCATTGCTGACATGTGTTTGCCCAAAGATCCAAAATTTCAAGAAATTTTATCTTTTTCAAATGCAGTTGTACAAAAAGATTCATTTACTCAAAAAGTCTCAACATTTATATAGATATGTTACTGCTTATATATAAGGTCAATGTTTAACTCCATTTTTGCAGAATCAGATTTACAAAACATGCATAAAATATAAAATTTTATCTTTAATAGTGGAAATGGTAGGAAGATGAAAATTATTTATGAGAATAATATCAGTAGGTTAAAATACTATGAAAAATGTAAGAAAAAGGAAAAAACCTGAAAAACTAAAAAGAAAAATTGACACATGATAGTATATTACAAGGTAGATTACAGGCAATTGGCATGGAGGTAGTCCAGAAGACCTGGCCAGCTTTTATCATGATGAACTGTGTTTTGAAATCTTACATCATGGTATATAGGCACTTTGCTCCTTTAGGGCTTGGCTGGCCTCAGAGAATAATACATGTACATTTGTTTTCTATGCGGTGCTTCTCTTTCTGAAATTCTATGATTTAAAAATATACCAACGTGAGCATACCCTATTAAATTCTTCCATCTTCAGCATCATCCTTCTTTGTTGCTTTGGGTATCCAAAAACCCACAACACACCCTCGCAAGCAGATCCCAAATTTGGTGAAAACAATACTGGTGATCAGGCAGCAACCCCATTGCAAATTTTTCTTACTCTACTTTGCAAATAATTGTATTTGAGCCACTCAGTAACTTTGCTGGCTTTTTCAGGCAAACAAGGTTTTCACTCATTACAAATTCCTGGAATTTCATCAGCTGGAATGAATGCCAGTGCAGACAGATGACCCATTTTTAAACTGAAGTTTTCTCCATGGCAACCCCTATCCTTGAGAGCTTGTTTGATCTTGACCTGATCTTTTCTTTGGAGAAGGTCCTCCTCTTCAATCATGCACACAGCTTCAAGAGAGACGTACATGGAGCCGTGAGAAAGAGGACACCCACCTATCCAGCCAGATTAACCAAATCAGCCCACGCAATCACTGGGGTGACAGATGTTACAACCAGATCACTCTCACATCCACAGCAAATCCCCTTCTCAGAATCCAGCTTTCTTCCCTTCTTTTTCTCCCCATAGGGCTTAGAGGTTTTTTTTTTTTTTTTTCTTTTGAGACAGGGTCTCGCTATGCAGTTCAAGCTGGCCTTGAGCTCACTTTGTAACCCAGGCTGGTCTCAGACTTGCACCAATCCTCCTGCCTCAGCCTCCCGAGTGCTGGGATTACAGGCATGTGCCACCATGCCCGGCCCGGCTTAGAGTTTTCAAAATTTCAGCTTTCAGGATTTAATTTATTTAGGACAATGATTCTAGAGATTTTAATCTTTGGGGCTTTCCACATTGGTGATCATGACATTGGGAGTTGTGCTTTTGACAATTATGATCAGCATGGGCACTGAACAGAAATGAATCACTGATACACGCAGCGACATAAAGGTCAAAATAATTAGCCTGAATGAGAGAAACCCAAGGGGGTAAAGAATGCTGGCTGTGTGGTTCCTTTTTATGAAAATTCTAGAAAATGCAAATTGATTTTTAAAGATCAAAACAGATCAGTTCTTGCAGGAGTGGAATGAAAAGAAAAAGAAGTGATTGGAGAAGCGCATGAGGACGGTTTGGAAAGCTCCACACATCCACGATCTTGACCGTGTTAGAGTTTCACCGGGGTATACATGTCAAAACTCCCTTAATTGTACCCCATGTTTTAAACGTGAAAAAGAATTCTCTTAACTGAATCCAAGCCACCCTCCCACTGGACTGTGGGAAATTCAGTCATCTAGAGTTGGCCTGGAGGACTGATGTTGCTGGGAGCTGCACCAGCACGTAGGAGCCTTACGTGGTGTCGCTCAAACAAGCTAGACCCCTGCCCTGATCTTCAGGATCCCCAGCCCGCCTTCTTGTCCCTTGGATGGAGACTTAGTCTTGTTTCTGGCTTCTGACGCTCAGCCTCTGCAGTGAAGTTCTCCTCACTCTACTTTTCCTCGTTTTCTACCAAATACATTTTGTGAAAGATGTTGGAGAACTGAGAGATTCCCACTGACTCTGGCAAGGCCTGGGCATCCATCTGATTCTCTCCCTCCCACACTCCCCAAATAAGGGCCCAGCACCTCTAGACTTGGAGTCCTTGCATCCTATCCTTTGACAAACACAACCTTTTCCCCGTCACTTCAGAATTTGAACAGTGCCTAAATATCTGAGGAAAATAAGCTCTGACCTCCCCAGTCTAATCTATAAATCTTGAACCAGGGCCACAAATGTTGAGGGTGTTTTAGTGCTTGTTTTTCTCAGGCTGAGTTCATCACAGTCCATGTTAGAGGTTTCTTGAAGTCTGTGTCTTAGCAGTTTCCTCCTCCACTGCATACAAAAGGCAGCAACTTCCAGTTCCTCTGGATCTGGGGAAGGCGGTCGCAAACCCTAGAGGAGAGAGAGAGGGAGAGCAGTGGTTTACATAGCACACAGCATGGCAAGAATAGAAGGCTGCCTTATAATTGGATAAGAAGATTTTAGCCAAAACTTTTAGCAAATTGCTAATTGCTCATGGTCAAGTATAGATAGTATCGTGAGTGTATAAAACCCATTCTAGCACAACATGCGACAGGTCCACATCCGCCCTAGGCTTTGTCTAGCATCTCACTTCTGCACTTGAGAAAATGACTTGTGGCAGGACTGGAGCCTGTGTCACAGGCTTTGGGGAAGAGAGCAGCCACCACTGCCAGGAATTTCCAAATTCCCGCCCAGGTTGACCTCCTTTCCGAAAGCCATAAGCCACTAAGGACAGTAAACTAAACGTAAGGCAGTGCGTGCAAACATGATCCCCATGATGCACTAACAGTGACTGTTACAAAAATAAAACCCAAACTCGGGTCAGCTCCTGACTGTATTGATTCATCCGCCACACTACAGGCCTGGAAGAAATGTACATAAATAAATAAATAAATACTTACTTAGTCCCCAATAAGTATTCATTTATTAGTCCAATCTGCACATATTGTAGTTGTCAATGGAAAATCATGAGATGCACAAAAAAGAAAAACAAAACAAAAACAATCTCCTGCCAAGAGACAACACAAAACAAAAACAAAAAACCTCCATACTCATATATGCACAAGTGGAAATGATCACAAAAAATTAAAAATAACTATGATTAATATACTTGTGATGTTAATAGAAAAAGTAGACAATACATAAGCAAATGGGAATCTTAACAGAAAGATAAAAATTACTTGAAATAATAAGTGGAGGTGCTGGAATTAAGAGAAAACATGGTAACAGATATGCAGAATGCTTTGACAGGTTCATCTACAGAATGGCAACAGCTATAGAAATACTCAGTGAGCTTGAAGGTAGATCGAGGGAAATTAGCCAAACAATAGAATTGAATTTAATTGTTAAGAAGAAGGAAGAGCCTCCCTGTGGATGTCTGCCGTTTGCCACGTTCCTGAGCGCACTCACCCGGAGACTTGCAGCTTCTGCGGCCCTCACTGCCTTGGACACAGCCTGGAGGAGCTGTTGTGCATTTCCCACCAGGAGCTCTTCAGAGGACTTGCTTCTTGCCAGAGAAGCCTTCACCCTTGGGAGTTTATGGGGGGAAACAGACCTTAGATCAGGTAAGAGAGACAATGTCACATAAGTTAATACCAGGAGTGTTTATAAAGCGAGCATCTTCCAGAAAGCAGGATGCCTTGGTGAGGACCATTCAGAGAAAGAATGTTCTAACAGGCTATTTCAGCATTTAAAAATGAGAATTGTATTGTAATGCCAAGAAAGTGTGAGTCATATAGCATCTACAAATTAATTAAAAAGTATGTTTTAATGGAAATAAGAGAAACAGCAGAACAAAAGCCAACTGCCGTACATAATGATAGGGAATCAGAAATTTTGTATAGAATTATATTCAGTGCTTGGATTAAAAAACCCCAACTCATATACCTGCCACGTGTTGAAGTGGTCAGGCAGGAAATTAAAAGTTCTAATGAAAGATCAGACTTATACTTCCTAACTTAATTACATACTTCAATGGCATTTGTTTAAACAATGTAACTGAATTTAGATACATTGTTTTCTACCATTAGGGGGGAAAATGGGGTGAAATTTAAGTAACTCTTAACTCTGGCAAAAGTTCTTATCTTCAAGATCCTTCAGAAGACTGAGGTTGACAAATATACCTGTAATAATTGTGCCTTTTTACTTCCTTCCTCCAGAACTGAGACTGCGATCTGTCGCTCCTTCCCTGTCTCCCTCCTTCCCTCCCCGCTCCCTCCCTCCTTTCCTTCTTTCCTCATCCCCTTTTCTGTTTTTATGTGCTGGGGATTGAATCCAGGATCTTGTACATACTAAGCACATGTATTTTGTATTTCTGATGCTTTGGCTCGCTGAAACGCTGCTGATGTTGGAGAAACACCCCTCCCGGGGCCAACCAGTTCCCAGGGACAGTACACAACTTGTCAAAGCACAGATTTTCCATATGCACCAATCCACAGCCCACGCCCCAACCAGCTCCATCTTACTTGTGTACTCCGGGCCACTGCCTACCCGCCCTAATCATGCCGGAGCCACGCACCAGACAACTAGAGACAAAAACTATACCTCAGGAATACCCCAGGACACTCTGCAATTATTCAAACTCACCAATCCTAAATACGCGTAGCCTGCATAGTCTGTCTAGGCCGTTCCTTCCCACGAAAATCACGATAAACACTCTTGCTCACGTTTTCCCATCATTCCTTCTACTTTTTGACTGACTTTGCTGCTTCCCTGGGGCCCTGTGTACATGCTGAGACTGCGATTTCTAGGAATCTGTGAGTACAAGATCTATTTTCTTCATGATGCATTACCATGGCTATGTGTTTAATCTCTATGCTACTTAATTAGAGCAAATCCTGAGTACCCTTAATACTCATATATGAAATGCAAAAATTAATTTTTCCTTTACCTTAAGTGGACAGATGTTGGTAGCTAATCTTGAGGTGATTATGTACCTGAAATATTATTTCCTGGAGAATAGTAGCAAAGTTTTATTTTTACTTTTTTTTAGTACTGGGGATTAAACCCCCGGCTTTCATATTGAGCTACTTTGCCAGCCCTTTTTTATTTTTTATTTTTAGACAGGGTCTTGTTAAACCTGGGCAACTTAGTGACTTACTGAACCCTGTCTTAAAATTTTAAAAAAAAATTTTTTTTTGGTACCGGGAATCAAACTTAGGATGTTGTGCTTGCCAGGTAGGTGCTTGTGCCACCGAGCTATATCCCTGGCCCAAAATTTAAAACTTTTTAAAAAGGGTTGAGGATGTAGCAGTGCAAAGGGCTAGGTTCAACTCCTGGTACCAAAAACAAAACCAAAAACAAAAACAAAAAATGATCTACACTGATTTGGGCAATATTATTTTCTGCTTCCCAATGACTGGCAGTATCATGCTTCTCCATAATACAAAACAATTGCTAGTAGGAGTTTGTTACTGATAAGAGTTGCACTGCAGGTACGAAGAGACTTGAAGTGAAACCACCACATAATTATATTACGATAAGGAGATTAAACAGATGAAGTTTAACAGAAGCTCCGTGCAAGGACAGTTTTTCTTGGCAGATGACATCTGCACTGCTTTCCCTTGCTGTTAATGTACTGCTGCACATTGCTTCATGGCAGAGGTACCTCCTAAGAACTGCTTCACTAGATGATTTTGTTGTGTGACTATCACAGAGTGCACTTACGCCAACAAAAATGGCTATGAAGCCAGGTGTGGCAGTGCACACCTGTGATCCCAGCACTTGGGAGGATCAGGCAGGAAGATCACCTCAAATTTGAGGTCAGCCTGGGCTACATGGTGGATTCAAGGCCAACCTGAATTACAGAGTGAGACTTTTGTCTTAAAAAAAAAAAGATGGCTATGCTGTCACTAGCTGATATAACAGATGGGGCCACTTTTGTATATGCTGTGTGTCACTGACAAAACTGTCAGGATGCAGTCCATGACTGTACTTTTTTTTTTTTTGGTTTTTCTCCAGTACCGGGAACCGAACTCACGACCTTGCGCTTGCCAGGCAGGCGCTTTGCCGCTGAGCTAAATCCCCAGCCCGACTATACTTTTAAAGATAGCTGGCTTTTTCATTCGATATGACTAGTATAAAATAGAGAGCTAATGGTTAGACCTGGTTGTAAAGTAAGAAGGTTTGTATTTGTAAATTAACCCAGAATTGTGGTGAGCATAGCAATAATGTTGGAGTTAGGTACCTGGGATTTTGAAAAGGAAGTAAAGAGTCGTGCAAACTTGTGGGGACAAAAAACTAAAAGACCGTTGAGTCCTGAGAAAGTAGAGCTTAGCAGTTTTCCACGAAGTGTTTTCCCACCTGGAGATGATGCAGAGCTGGTTGCTCATTGTTTGAATCTGCTCTACTATGCGCAGAAGCTCCTGGGAACATCGTTGATCTACACAGTTCTTAGCAATGATGCAGATGAGTCTAGTGAAGTTTTGTCCAGAAGTTGCAATTTTCCTAGCAGAGGTAATGAGCTCATCTTTGGTCTGTATGAAAGAAATGAAAGCGTTAGAAGTAGGTAAATAATGCCCTTACAGATTGTCCCCAAGAAATCGGTTGCAAACTACAAAGCTTGATCAGGACTTTCTTGGCAAAACTTCAGCCCCTGAAATGAACACATGTTAGCTTAAACCACTACTTCCTGAGCCTCCTCCAGCTTCTCCCTGGGTTAGTAAGAAGCTTACTCCCTTGGCAACTGCAGAACAAAACCCATCCATGTAGGGCTATAGCAGGGAAGTCAGGCAGCTTCCTGGCTGAGAGCTAGCTATCCTTTTTTTTTTTTTTGAAACAGGGTCTCACTTTGTAGTTCAGGCTGGCCTTAGACTCACTGTGTAGCCCAGGCTGGCCTCAAACTCCAGATGATCCTCCTGCTTCAGCCTCCCAAGTGTGGGGATTACAGGGGTACACTATCACACCTAGCTAGAGTTTGCTTTCAACATTTTCCTGAGTAAGTTTTTATTTTGTACATACTATTACTCCAGGTTAACCTGGACCATGACTTTAAGAATGCTTTTTGTTCACTGCTGGCACACAGAAAGGGTTCAAGAAATTTTTGTTGAATTAAGATTTAAGACACAATATTATGGAAAGTCTTCAAAATGATCACCTCCATGTGTGAAGGGGAAGGGCCATACCGAAAGGATCTAGCTGGAATATTCCAGAACTCTCAACCTGGATCTCAAGGGTGCCAAGAAAACTCAAACCCCATGAGCATAACCTTATGTAGATCTCTCCCAAATGAGACGCTTATCTATGGGAAACCTCCTTCCACTCTTCCCACCATCCCCCTCGCTTTCTCCAATGCTACCCACAACCTCCGGGCTGAGGAGTTGCCAGTATGGCTGCCTCTCACTCATGTCATCTCAGACTGTTCTGTTCCAGAAATCCTCTAGCCAGCTGCCCCTTCCCCAGCCATTTTATATTCTTTTCCCTGTTCCACTCAAGAGCACATGTACTTTGGTTGTTAAAATCTGTCTGGTGTTAAGAGCAGAGTTTGGGAAGGTGTCGCCTGTTAAAACTGGTCCGTTGGTTTTCCTCCTGTCATCCCCTATTACGTGTACTGCGTTTCCCCCAGGGAACTTGCAGGTGGGCTGCATATTCCTGGATCTTCAGTTACACACCCCTGCCAGCACCTAGTCTTATATAAGTCAGAATGTCTGAGATGTCGGGAAAGAAAAGAGGAGTCAGCAACCCCTCCCACATCTGCTCTAACGACCTTAGGGGCCATATTGCAGGAAGAGCCTGGCAGCTTGTGGTGGGCAGGGGTCCAGGGCACGGACAGGACAAGGAAAGGTCTGAATCCAGATGTGGTAGGGCCGCTGGCTTTGGCTTTGCAGAAACCTAGTCACGGATGCCCTTCTCCTCTGTACCTCCTGTCACCTCCAGGATGAGAAAGTAGGGTCCCCTCTGGCTGGTTTTTTAAATGGCTCTTGTTGCCATTTGATTGTCTTCTTTCCGGTCTGCACATTCAGCAATTGGACTACTTTTATTTTTGTTCTATGTTGGTGTGTTGACATTAAACAATGCTTATCTCAATTTAGTCAAGAAGAGAGATGAAAAGAATTGACATAGGCACCCTGATCATGAGGGCGTTGGCCTTCAGAAGCTAGTGGGAAGCAGCCCGGGCCCTGCAGGCTGCGCTAGCCCGCAGGAGCTTTCAGTTCTCGTGACCTCTGCTTTGAGAAATGTTCAGAGGTATAAATGGCTCTCTTCAGTTCATTCTTCTGGAATATGAGTGAGTCCTTAATTTTACTAAGTTGCACCTTTTGGCAATGTATCTTTTCTGGTAGAATAAGACAAAGCCTTAGTAAGCAGGCTTAAAAGAGGACGGGAAGAGGAAGGTAAGGCAAACTTTTTGGTACACCCAGGCAGAGACTGAGAAGAGAACCTAAAGATGCCATGTGCTGAATGGCTCCCCGGTGTGGCCTTGCTTCCTGGGAGCTGCCCCGGGCTGCCTTGGCTTCTGAGGGCCACCGGTGGGAAGTGCCATCTCCCTGTGCGCTGGCCACTCCTCCCACCCCAAGGCTGCTGAGTCACACGCACCAGGCCACACCCGCTCTTCCTCAGCCTCTGGGCCATCAGGAACGCCTCCTTGGCCATCTCTCGGGCAGTCCGGGTGACTGGGTTCTCACCGTCCGCCCTGCCGTCCTCTGGGAAGAGCTGGTCCATCTCAGGATGCGGCCCAGCGGGACCGCCCCTTGGGGTAGGGGCACTGCGGCTTCGCTGCTGCGGGAAGACAACAGGTCAGAACCAGCGAATCCCTGACACTCAGCCCTTAAATCACAGCAGGGATGTTAGTTGCCCTTTTATAGTTTTTACAAGAAAGATGAGAAGGAAGGGAGGAGCTTCCTGATTCCTCTGTGCCCCAGCAGCCCTTGGCCATCTTTTACAAATATGTAGGGAAACAGTGAGAAGAGCTATGAAGGTTATTAATTTGTATTCCACTCATTCAGAGTTTTCATAAACTGCAACCTGACACCCTCAGGTTCCCATATAGTTAAAATATTGCATTTTCTTTGCTTCTGTGAATTTTCAGGTTTTACGTGAAAGAAGGGAGAATCTGCAGCTTCTTCAAGAAATCCAGGGCTGGGGATATAGCTCAGTGGCACAGCACCTGCTTGGCAAATGCAAGGTCCTGAGTTCAATCCCTGGTACACACACACACACACAAAGAAGTCCAGGAACACTGACCAATTCAAGATCAGCCTAAATTACATGGCAAGAACCTGTCTCAAAACAAAAAAAAAAGAGAGAGAAATGAAATTCAGGAACACTTAAATGTTCCAATTTTGGGAACCCAAACCTAAACATTTTTATACCAGTTGATCCATATGAAATAACTTTAAAGTTTGGCTGTGAATAATTACGATTTCCCCCACAAAAAAGCTTGGTTGTTGTTACTTTCTAGTAAGAATGGCAGCAGCCTGTGGCACCGTGAGTGGACCGGGTGCTCAAGTTAGGCCACGTTATCTTCCTGCTGGACCTTGGACACAGCCTTCCTCGGCCCTTTTCCAGACCTTGAAATCAAGAAAATAACAAAGGTAAATCCATTCACAGAATTGAGAGTATCCTTGATTATCTCTGCCTCACCTCACCAGAGGCGGCTGCTCCATCTTGGACTTTTTAGCCTCCAGAACTGTGAGTCAAATTTATTTTCTTTGTACATTACCTAGTCTAGATGCTCTAATAGCAGAAGAGGACTAACACTCAGTTAGCGAATACTGAGAAGTCACTTGACCTTGCTACTGTTTTTGTGTTGGCTTCTTCAATTAAATGATTCCTACCTTCTGAAAATTGGCAGTGTCTTCCACTGATTTATTGGCCTGGTCCCAGACCAAGCGGGATGTCTGCTGAATGCTGGGAGGGGTGAGCAGAAGATCATGTTCTGGAGAGGGTCGCCTGCATCAGGGCCCAAGAGCCAGTGGCTTTTCCCTGTTCATTTTCTGCTGCAACAGTGAGCAGGACTGTGCTTCCCCAGGACAAAAGTCTTGCTTCTGCCCAGAGGAAACGAGCCCCCTCCAGGAAAGATGACTCCCCGCATGGACAGGAGTGCTGATGAGGGCTTGCTGTTGTCTCCATTCCAGAAGCCTGCAGGCCTGGGCAGCCAGCGTCACCCTGCTCTGCAGCTAGAGGAGATGCACCATAGAGAGTTCATGGAACCGACAGAAGTAATGCACGTCAGTGAATCCTGGCAGTAAGTGTGTGTTAGAAGGCCCTATGGAGAAACATAGCAAGAGGAGGCGCTGGTGACTACTTGAATGTGTAAGACCAGGAGATATGGAGCTGTTGCACCTACAGGATGGGTGGGATCTGAGCAAAGAGGACTCAGGCTACAGGAGAAAGGGGATTGTGCCTGTTCTCCTCCTCCTTAGCAGTAGAGCCCCCTCTTGTGGCATCTTAATGAGAAAAATGAAGCAAGGCTGAGGCAGTGGAGGAAGAAATGCATGGCTTAGTCATTTCCATTTTGGGAAAAGGCCTAAAGAATGGTCATGGGGGTGGGGTTCTTGCAGCAGAGCGCAAGGTCATGAGGGGGACAGATCATGTACCTCAAATGCTGACCTGAACCTGTCTGCTTGGGAACTACTTGAGCCCTGCCAACCTATTCTAACTCCCACTGCCTTTGGTCATGGGCAATATAAAACTCAATGTTTGAGATTCACCGTGCCTAAATGTCTTGTCATGCCCTCTGAGGAAATGAGTGTGAAAGATATTCAAGAGGCCTGGTATCTTTCAATAAATCTTTTTTTTTTTTTTTTTAACCAACTATGATTCAGGTTGGATTCCTGTCACTTGCAAACAAAAGAACCCTGATTGGAACTGGGAAGTAACATCTGAGGAGGTCAAAGAGGCATGAAGCAGCCTGAGTCACAGAAGAAGCAAGAAAAACCCTTGCAGTTTGGGGGATCAGAAAGAACTTCATGGAAGACAGTAGTAAGTATAGGTGCTAATTATAGAACTTCTATGATGTGCCAGGCAAGTACAAGTGACTTTGCATGGATACTTTCATTAACCCTCCATCAGACTAGAATACTGAAGTCCAAAGTAGCTCTGAAGGTCCTCAGGTCCTAGCTAGGAAACGACAGAGGCAGATGCAGCCCAGGAAGTCTGATCCTCTAGCATTGGCGCTTACAGGCTGCACTGCTGTCTGCCCAATGTGAAATGTACACAAGGGGTGCTGGGGATTTAGCTCAGCTGCACAGCGCCTGCCTGGCAAGCGCAAGGTTGTGAGTTGGATTCCTGGTACTGGGAAAAAAAAAAAAAAGTACACAAGGGCCTCAAGACCCTGAAATGTGGCAGGGTATTTGGTTACTAGAAAGAGTTGAGGTAGGATGGAAAAAAGGTGCTGAGTAGCCTACCATGCCCCTGTCTGCTGTGGAGGTCCCAGTGATGGCTGGATCATCAGGGCAGGCCCCCACTGAGCTCCCTGGAGTGCCTCTGGAAGCATCGTGCTGAGAATCCACCCCGTCCCCTACAGACGCTCCTGCTGTACCCTCTTCACAGTGGAGCTGGATCCAGATGGGATCCTGTTCCGGGACCATTACTGGCCCTTCTGTGTGTTTCAAGCACTGGGCCAGGAATCTCCAGGCCTTGGGGTGACCACCTTTCCAGGCCTGGAGCTGGGCCACTGCATAGTGGGCCTTGGCTGCCCACTCCCACTGAAGCCAACCCAGCATGTGCAATCCCCGCTCCTCTGCATGTTCTTGAAGCCCAGGAACTCTCTGGGCCACTTCCTTGGTGAGGAAAAGAATGCTCTCCAGAGCCACAAGAAGATCTTCCTGGCAGGGCCCAGACTCTTGACCTCTTGCTATGATTCCCCGTACAGCTTGGATCCCAGACACGATTCTTTCCAAGGACCTTTCTGTCCTGCTCTGGGGGTTCTTGCTCACAGAGAACCTTGGGCAGACAGCATCGTGGAAGGCACGTTCATAGCCTGCATTTATGGTGCTGAGGTGGCCCGTTAGGGCCTTGGCTCGAAGGGTGAGCTCCAAACAGAGAAGGTCAAAGCGTGTGGACAAGCTGGGAGATGGTCTGGGAGAGGAAACCAGGATCTGTGCCACGTCCAGCAGAGCATCTCTGAGCACAAGAACTTCCCTGCACAGAAAGGAGACCTCACCCTTTACCTGCTCATCCCCACATAGAAGGCCGGACAGCCTGGCAGCCTCCTGCAGCCTTTGAGAAACATCTGCTATCTGGTCCAACCCTTCCTGCAACCCCTGCTGGTCCTTCACTGCCTGTCGCAGGGGCAATAGGAACAGACTTTGTCTCCTGCTGAACCTCTCCATGCACTGGATCAGGTCTTGGACAGCCACTGACCATAGGAGGCACCCATCCTCAAGGTTCTCTTCCCATGACTTGGGGGCTTGGAGACCATCAGAGGCCAGAACTTTGTCCAATAGCTGTTTAGCATGGATCTCTGTCTCTTCCAATCTACCTCGCATTTGTAAAAGCATTTCTGGATGCCCTGTTGAGTCAGGGTTCCTCTTATCCAAATCTGTGGGTTCATTTTTAGCTGCTAGTTGAACTATTAAGGCTAAATTCTGCTGGAGCTCCATGAACACTGCCATGTTCTCTGGTAGACCAGTTGTTGAGTTGTGGCAAAAGAGTTGTTGACACAGCAGATACCAGTCACCAGCCAAGGCTACCAAAACCTGCTTGCTTTCCCTGGTCCTTTCAGGTAGCTGGAGAGTCACTTCGAGAAGCCTATTATGTCTACCAGTTATTCTGTGGGCTAACTCCTTTGCTAGGTCAATGACGGAAGGTGCCAACATTATTTCTTGGAGTCCTGTTGTCCTCTCTGACTCCAGTGGTTCCTCTCCAGCTGGGGCCTCTTGAGCTGCATCCACAGCAACATCCTGCTCCAGCACGTGGGTGTAAGCTGAGGCTGCTGCTTGGTGATTCTGGCTCTCCACAGAAAGAATGGCTTTGCTGGTGGTGGGGCATGGAGGGTCTCTCCTCTGTGCGTGGATGTCAGGAATCCAGGGGTGGGAAAGACGTTCCATTGCTGGACAGGATATGCCTTGATCACGTTCCCCTAACTCAGGTACCTTCTGATATTTCAGTTCAGGAAGTGTGGGGTCCTGAAGGCCAGAGGGAATGAAATGTGGCCAGCCCTTAGCAATGTCAAACCTTTGGACCTGGAGTCGAAGGGGACTGAGGATGTCTGGGTGGTTGGTCCCACTGAGCCCCTCTTGCACTTGCTGAGCTGAATAGATGAGATGTTTTGCCATGGTTAAAAACACATCCGCGTCCTGAGAGCTGTACCCACCTGAACTGTGTTCTGCAGCCGTACCCAGGGCGGAAGCAGACTGCTCGAGCTGCCATATCAAGACTCGCAGGCCATTCCGGAAGATGGGGTCTCGGTTTTGGCCCACATACCTGCTCATTACCTGTACTATGTGTGTGGCTCGACCCTGTAAACAGGCCACAGATCTGGAAAGCTCTCCGGGCTCTCCACTCCTCAAAGCCCACGTAAACAGGTCCAAGTGCTTGATCATATCCTGAATGGACACCCCGAGGAATTCACGAACGTCGAGAACATCATCAAAACATGCCAACAGGCGTTCAGATGCCCAGACCCAGGCCTGAAGCAGGGCCTGCAGGACAGCGGGGCTCCAGTCCCGCCCAGACCCTTGGCAGCTGTGTGAGAAAAGCTGCTGCACTCTGACCACAAGCCCCCAGACGCCTGCCATGGCGGCCTCCATGTCTCCGCCTGTTTGATGTCCAGGGCAGCAAACCAAGACGAGCTGGGCCACGCGGAGCATCTGCTCGGCCTGGTCTTGGAATGCAGCGAGGAGAAGCTGGAGGCTCCGCCGCGAGGCCTCCGGGTCGCTCAGGGTCCTGCCTGTGGGAGTCGCCAGGGCGGCCTGGACCAGCCTTCGGAGAGGGCTGCGGGTGTCTGTGAACGTGTCCAGGATCCGGCGCAGGAGCCCAGCGCGCGCGGCCTGGAAGAGGGCCTCGGTCGCGGCCCGCAGCGCCGCGCGCTCCTCCCCCGGCTCCAGCCTCTCCTGGCCGGTCCCGATCGCCAGAGGCCCGAAGGTCCCGTCCGGATGCCGGACGCCAGC